GGCCCTTGTTGGCCAGTCCTTTGTCCCTTTTGTAGGACTTAAAGTGCCAATTTGGTGTTTGATAGCCATGTGTGGCCAAGTGTAATTGAGATGTGAATGTATTCAAGTGATTGCTTTCTTCAGATAAAGTCTCCCTTCCTCCTTTTTCATTCTCCTCCTCCTTTTCCTCCTCTTCCTCCTTCTCCTGTACCTCCTCCACCACCTCCTCCTCCTCTTCCTCCTGCTTCTTCTTCCTCTTCTCCTCCTCCTCCTTCCTCCTCCTCTTCTAGTTCTGCTTCTGCTTCTTCCTCTTCCTATTCTTCTTCTTCTTCCTTCTTCTTCCTCTTCTTCTTCTTCCTCTTCTTCTTCTTCCTCTTCTTCTTCTTCTTCTTCTTCTTCAGATTCTTCTTCAGATTCTTCTTCTTCTTCTTCAGATTCTTCTTCTTCTTCTTCAGATTCTTCTTCTTCTTCGGATTTTACTTCTTCTTCAGATTCTTCTTCTTCTTCTTTGATTTTTTTTTCTGAGGGATGGGAGGAATATTTTTGGTGGTTTCTATTCATGTATTTATTTTTTGGTCTAGTCCTAGGGCTTGAACTCAGACCTTTGGCACTGTGTCTGAGCTTCATTTACACAAGGGTACCAGTCTACCACTTGAGAAATAGCGCCACTTCCGGCCTTTTCGGTTTTGTGATAATGAGGAGTAGAACTCAGGGCTTCAAGCATGCTAGGCAAGCAGTCCACCACAAGGTCACATGTCCAGCACCATTTCTTCCTTTTCTGAATGCTGGGGTTTGAATTCTGGGCCTTTGCTTGCTTGGCGGGCACTTTAGCACTTGAGCCACAGCTCTATGTGGGTCTCTAGGCTAGTTGATTGGAGACAAGAGTCCCATGGACTTTCTCTTCAGGCTGACTTGCAACCTGAGTCCTCTAGGTATCAGCCTCCTGAGTAGCTAGGATAACCATTGTGAGGCCCCAGTGCTGATCTAGGTAGAGTCATTTCTTCTGTATTCTTTGAGAGGATGGGAGCTTACAGGAAAGTTGATGTGTTTATTGGGCACAGAGTGGAGTGAGCTCAGAGCTGAAGCATGGAGATGTTGTCCTGGGGTTTGGGGCTGTGCTGGTCTGGCAGTGCAGGTTTCCCAAGAAGATACTTGTCCAGGCTGGAGGGGTCTTCATCCCCAGACACGCCATAGACCCGGGCAAGCTCTTCTGTGCTGTAGGGAAGGGGCGCTGTCCAGGATACCTCCAAACTTTCCAGGGGCTGAACAGCCCATGGGAAACTGAGTCCAGCGCTGGTAGGCGCTGGAAATTCCTGGGGCTCCTCTGGCCCTTGGTGGGCCTCGCCTCTGAAAGGCTGCTGAGGGCTGAGGAGGGCGGCCCCGGGCACCTGCGCCCCATGAGCGGCCTGGCGACATGAGGCTGATGGGCACACAGGTGGCTTCCCGGCTTGCTGCTGTTTCTTCAGCTTGGCCTTCTGGTTTTTAAACCAAACCTTCACCTCGATCTCGTCCAGCTGCAGCCTGGAGGCCAGCTCCTGCACCTCGTCCCACTTGGGGTGCTGGGTGTGTTTGAAGGCGGCTCTCAGCTCCTGTAGCTGGTGCTGTGTGAACCTGGTGCGGCTCTTGCGATGGGCTCTCAGCTGCTCTGCCATGGCTGCCTTGGCCGTGTCTGCTGTAGCAGCCAGGTGAGTTGTGCCTGAGCTCCACAGCTCAATGCCCACACAGCCTACCCAGTCAGTATTTCAGCAAAATGCTGGTGGTCTCCACCCTCTGGGACCCTCCCTAGTCTCCTCCCCTCCCTAGTCTCTGCCCTGCCCTTCCCCTCCCTGAGGCCCTTCCTCCAGACAACTTCCACTCCTCAGACTTTCTTCCCTCACTCCTGGGAATCTTTCCTCTCTACAGATAATTGGGAATACTGAGCTAGATTACCAGCTAGCTAGCTAGGTACATATGTATGGACATATACATGTATATATATATTTATTTATGTACATATATCTATATTTTGTATGGCTTCGTGCTGGTCCAGAGGCTTGACTTCAAGGCCTGGGACCCTCCCTTATCCCAGAAACATTCTTCTCCCTCCTTCCTGCTATTCCTCCAGAGAACTTCCACTCTTCAGACTTTTTTGGTTGTTTATTTGTTTATTAAAAGGTGATGAACAGCAGAATCAAGGCAATAAGTACATTAGTATTTCTCTCAGACTTTCTCTAATCACAGACAGGATCTCTTACTTCTTAGAGAAATTTGGGGTACACACACACACACACACACAGAGACTTATATTTTCTGTTTATTTTCTTAGTCAAACGGTTTGAACTCAACCAAGGACAGCTTTTTCACTCAATATTGGTGCTTTATCACTTGAGCTAACGCTCCACTTTGGCTTTTTGGTCCTTCATTGGCAATAAGAGTCTTGCACGCTTTGAATTTCTGGATGACTTTGAACTGCCATCTTCTGATCTTAGCCTTCCAAGCAGCTAGTATTACAGGCCTGAGCCATGGGCTCCTATCCAGCTGCCTGGCCCTCTCTGGTGTACAGGACAGTCAGTCCCTTGGAAGGCCCTTGGTGGCCAGTCCTCTGCCCCTTTTGTGAGGGCTTAAACTGCCAATTTGGTGTCTGATAGCCATGTGTGGCCAAGTGTAATTGTGATGTGAATGTATTCAAGAGATTGCTCTCCTCAGATAAAGTCTCCCTTCCTCCTTCTTCATTTCTCCTCCTCCTCCTCTTCCTCTTCCTTCTCCTCATCCTCCTGCTCCTTCTCCTTCTTCACCTTTTACTCCTCCTCCTCCTCCTCCTCCTTTTTCTTCTTCTTTGATTTTTGTTTTTGTTTTTTGTGAGGGGTTGGAAGAAGATTTTTGGTTTTTATTCATTTATTTATTTTTGGTCTGGTCCTAGGGCTTGAACTCAGAGCTTGGCACTGTGTCTGAGCCTCATTTGCACAAGTCTACCAGTTTACCACTTGAGACACAGCGCCAATTCCGGCCTTTTCTGTTTGTGTGGTAATGAGGAGTGGAACTCAGGGCTTCAAGCATCCTAGGCAAGCAGTCCACCACAAGGTCACATGCCCAGCCCCATTTCTTCCTTTGCTGAATGCTGGGGATTGAACTCTGGGCCTTTGCTTGCTTGGCAAACACTTTAGCACTTGCGCCACTGCTCTATTTGTGTCTTTGGACTAGTTGGTTGGAGACAAGAGTCCCATGGACTTACCTAGGCAGGCTTACTTGCAATCTGAGTCCTCCAGGTATCAGCCTCATGAGTAGCTAGAAAAACCACTGTGAGGCTCCAGTGCTCAGCTAGGTAGAGTCATTTCTTCTGTATTCTTTGAGAGGATGGGAGCTTACAGGTAAGTTGATGTGTTTCTTG